GACGAAAGGACGTTGTTCGCTCGGTGTCGGACGCCCATTGATTTTCGTTTACCCGCTCCTACTTCTCCACCCCTCGGTCCGTGTTTCCCTCTTTCGCCTCGCCACCCTCCCTCGAGGGATGTTTCGTTATTTAAACAGATTAGCGATACGGCAGCCCCCACTCCCTTAGAGGGAGGCAGAAGCGTCTTATGTGTTTCGAATGCGTAGAACGCTGAGGAGATTAATCCTTCTTGCGGGAGATGTTGCTTTCCGTGGTGTCGAGCGTTGAATTATTTTTGCCATGCAATCCTGAAAAATATCTCGTACCTTTCATTGTTTCTAGATTTGCGGGTGCGTAACATTGTACACCTGTTCTTTGTAGCAATGGAGACTTCGCAGGTTGCCCTGTGACAGTTTTAATATTGCAATAGTGGTGTTACCGAATTGGTATTCGATTGTCTGAGCTTAATCGGAGTGATTCTACTGTTACGAACCTTCGGATAAGCCTAGACATTTCAATACCAATTCTGCTGTTAGAATCCTCCGATTAAGACATTTGAGTACCAATTCGGTAAGACAACTATTGCAATTTGAGTATTTAGATGAGTTTTACGGTATGAATCAATATCTAGAGATCTTCACGATCCTCCAGGCTTGCTTTGAACCGTCGAGAGTCCCCAACAGCACCCGTGGAATTTAAAAAGATCCGAGTCGGATATAATTACGATTTTCGACATTCTCCGGTCAAGGTCCCGGTGAAACGATCCGTGCCCGTAGCAGACGGGTGGAACGAGGTAAGAGGGATGGGGGGAGAGCGTTTTTGGCGAACGGGTAGAGTCGGCTCTCGGAACCGATTCTCTAATACAAATTCATGAACGGGCCAGCCGTTTACCCTCCATTAGAGGGAAGCGCAATCAAAACCGGTGCCCGTCGTGGACCCCGATAGAGGACGTCGGGATCCAAGGAGCAGCTGTAAATCAAACTACGAAATTCCTCGTGTCTGGTCGCCTCTCGCGGTGTCTGCGCCCTGGAAAGTGTTGAGCTTCGTCTCGTTCGCTCGCCTCTTTCGAGAGATAGAGAGTGGTCTCGATGCGCGCAAGGGTGTAATTATGCGTCCAGGGCCCTGAGACCGAACCCGAAATGGGGGGAGTTGTAGAGATCACCCACCTCCCTCTCTCTCACCCCCATTCCCGAAAACCTTCCATTCCACGGCGAACTATTCTCCTCCGCGCAATCCACCTCGGCGTCCACCTCCTCCACCTCCTCTCGTGGCGGATATATCGAGTCAGACCCGTGACCGAAATAGGGAAAAACGAAGGATTCCCTTCCGCTCGTTTGCACTCGGATCAGGAGATAACGAGGCAGTCGGTAAACGACCTTCCTTCTTGCCTTTTCACCCGAGAAACAGCCTTGGCAGAAGGGAGAGCAAGGAGCCCTCTTTCCGCCGATTTGTCCCGTGATCAAAGTCCCTAGGCGTCTTCATTGGATTTCCCCGAGTCTTAACGGAGATCTGTGGGCAACTCTCGGAGGCTCAGACAGACCAAGACTTTCGTTTAAATACCCCGGTGTTTTGGTGGATTTTCCGTAGTGCTTTAATACACTGGATATCGCTGTGCCTGACTCTGTCGTCTACGTTCTTTGAATCCATCTCGTGATGCATTGGTTTTTTTTTCATTCAATACTTTCTTTACTTTCGACATTAAGAAATAATATTTCGCCCGTGTATTCTACAACACCTAGATGTGTACAATCTACAAATAAGCTCACCCATAAAAAAAAATCAAGTCGTCAGTTTCTTACGGGCAATTATGCATTTTCTCATTGATGTCTGTAATAATTGAAAGGTAACAAAATTTCATTAACATATAAATTAATAATACTTGAACTAAACAGTAAGTAGCTTAATCTCATAAAAAAAGGGTGAAGACTTCTACAGTTTAGCTAGTCAAAATACTATTATCATTGTGATTTCGAATATACTTTCCAGGGAACGCCTTTCCCTCGTGTTCCTGGAGCTCGGTTTTCTTGTCGATCCGTTTCCAGGCGCCCAATTGAACGGGAATACGGTCGTTAAAGTCTCGCAACAACGGAATTCGCGCGCGAAGTAAAAGCAACGGTGGGGCTGTTAAACGTCTCGAATGGCCGAAAAACCGCGAGTCTCGCGGCGTTTCGAGGCTGCTGGCGGTGTGTAATTACAATTGCAAATCTTTGCCCGTCGTTGCCGGTTACACGCGGCTGTTGCGCGCGTTTCTTCGGGGACGTCATGAAAGTTTCCGCTGCGGAATTCGCGCCGCGGCTGTTTTTGCCACGGGGCTCCCCACCCCCGTTGGTTCGTGAGAGAAACGTCTCTCTTGTGGGTCGGTGAGCGGGGTTGAAGAGAAGCGTTCGCTAAAATCGTTTAGCATAATTCACGGCGGGGTTGGTAGGAAGAGAGGACGAGTCGCCTTTCGTCGCGCTCGTCTCCCCTGTCCCCGATAAAAATGTCTTGTTTTGCTTCCGCTTAACTCTCCTCGTTAGCCACGTTGACATCTTGACGAAAAAAAGGAACCCGCTGGGAGCGTCCCTTGTTTTCGAAAAATCGCGAATTCTTTCAAATTTAATTCAATATCAGTTCGTGGTCTCCTCCTCCGTCGTCGCAATCGCTAGGTCTCTATTCTCGGCTGTTTCGCAATCGATAACGAAAGACGATGTCGTCGAGTCACTGGAAAATGGAGGAGGAGCCTGATTCCCCGCTATTAAATTGGAAGAACACTGATTTCGCTCGTTAGTTCGTGCGATGTTTATTCGCGAGGAAGTAGATCGAACGGTGGAAACGAAGTGCACGAGTAGCAGCGGGGGGCCCTCGTAAAGAGAACGCCGTGGACGTTGGTCGTTGCGATTCTAATTAGAAGGAATTCGGTCGTTCCGGGAGGAGGAGGGGGACGAATTAAGCTAATCGGCCGCGACGAAGAAGTCGAGGATCTTCCTCGTCTCTGACACGACGAAGACCAGAACAACGGAGCTCACGAAGAACAAGAAGAAGAATAATAAGAAAAGCCGAATTGTCTCGTAAAAAGGGACGAAGGAAAGAAAAAGAAACGTGTTCAGGAGAACGAAGAGAGGCCGGTGTATTCGAGAGAAGAAAGGGGGCGAGAAAAAAGGAACGACCCTTCCCGGTTCAGCCGTGGAAAAAGTCGAGAGCATGAAATTAGTCGTACTCGCGGCGTCGTCGCCGACGGTGGAGCATTAGAAGTGGCCCGGAGGGCTCCCGGCTTCCGTTTTATTCGATAATTATGCAAATGCCGGAATGATTGTCGGGCAATATGTCCGTGGAATAAAAGTCGAGTTCTTTCGTGGAGAGAGAGAGCAATTCGGTTATCTTTATGATTCCAGCGGGGGGCAGGGGGAGTGGGGCGAGCGCGACAAGGAACACAGGGACGTCGTGGGGGGATGAAGAACAGCTTGGTGGGGGATGACGGGGGAGAAGAAGGGCACGTAGGGATGCGTACCATCGTCGAGAGGAGAAGTACTTAATTTGCATCGAAACGCGAGTTTCCCACCAATCTCTTCGGGTTAATCGTGCCAAGAGAGAGCAAAAAAAAAAAGGCCCGACGTTTCGACACGAGGAGACGTACGGTTGGGTCCCCTGGACAAAGTGGGAACTGAGAAAAACCGATTAATCTAGGCGCGTGCCGTCGTGTTTTCTCGCGGGCAGCCCGGTCGTTAACGCGACGAGATATCTACTAGCGCATAGATCCACCACGGGTGTGCCCTATTAAGACGTTCGCTGGCCGATTTAATTAAGTGGCCAAGACTCACTACGACCCTTCCCCCAACCCCTTCAGCACCGCAGAACCGTGAGTCGGATCCGTCGTAATTTATTATTAAAATATATTCCCTGTCGAAAGGGTGGAGCCACGGCTCGACCAATGGGGCTGCTCGTCGCGTGCCTCGAGTCGTTAGGCCGCCGCCGTGGCTGGAAATTGATAAGAAATGCATCGTCGCACGACCACGCCGTCGCCGGTGCACAGCCTTTTAATCTTGAACGTTGGCGGGACCGCCGCGCGCGATCCTTCACCGACAGGGGGGGGGGGGAGACGGGAACCCTCGGTTTTCACGAAAGGGAAAGAATTCTTTCCTTCGGCTGTGAATCGAAGAATCCTGGAAACGGGAACGAAACGGGAAATGGTGAACCGAGAACAACAGTTAACTCTTGCTATTAGGTGTGAAAATTAATTCGTACTCTTCTTTTGATATATATTTAATATTTATTTACAAGAAAAAAAACCAATGTATACTCAAGTCCTGCAAACATTTCATTTTTAGTTACTTTCTACAGATTTACGCCATTCTTGGTGAATCCCTTATCGAAAAAAATGATGGCGGTTTCGGGTCAATAATTAATTGTTGGGGCCACGACTTTATTTGTACATCTAATAAGTAGCGTTATTGTATCCCGTTGATTTGTAATTACAGTAATTCCTCCATGAGAGCGACGAACACGGGGCCGCTTCGGAGCACATTCATAGCAAGGCGGAGAGGTTTTTAGTCCCTCATAAATTTGTTTTTTGTGCGAAGCCGAGCCTGTGCTTAGCTTCTGTTTACTTTGTTTTTATTGGTTGCGGAGCACCGCCCCGCCCCCCGTCCCAGTGGCGGGAGTAACGTCGTTGCTTGTGTCGCATTCATCGAGGAATTACTGTAGGTGTATATAAAATATAAGAAGAAGCATTCCGAGATGATAGGAATGAGGATGACTCAGGGCGAGTGGAAAAGGATAAAGAGAAAAGTGATAATGTGATTCGCTGTAGGAAGGAACGAATAACAGAAAAATTGAAGACACCAGACTCTTTACAATAACAACTATTTATTTATAGGTAATAATGCTGAATTACAATGAATACACTTTGTTGCCTCGATACTAGATTGTATAAGTCCGATCGCGAAATCGTCATCGCTCGTCGTCATCGTTTATTCAGTAGTGTGGCGATTACTGGTTGTTACCCATCCCCCCTCCCCCCAACCCCAGAAGTTTCTTTCCCCTGTACGGAAACCCGCCCCTCGAACCCACCCCGGAATCCTGTCCGTTGACTTTTTATTTTTTCATTTCTTTTTCGTTTAAATTCGCGGTACTCACGCGAGTTGACCCGACTCGTCGATCGAGAATCGCCGGTGAACCGTCGTGCGTTAAATTCCACGTCGGTTCAGCCCTCCCGCGAGTTTCGTCTTCGGCGATTCCTCCTGGAAATACCAATACTGGCAATTTCCGCGGCGTCCGTCCGTCGATTCTCGATCAGGCGAGGATTGATTGACCCCCGATCAGATCGATTGGTAGCGGCGATGGCAGATACAGATGAGCTATCGGTGGTTAAATTCTCGTTTCACTACGTGTAGCATCGTCTTAACGGGCGTATTTAGCCGGTACGTACGACCTAGACACTATGATTATGTGTGAACTTTACAACACAAGTAACCTTACGGGCAAGAGACTTTGTACATGGATCTTAAATACGGTGGATCAGGCCCCCATCCCCGGATGGGTGAAACATTCGTCGCGGACACTGGCACCGACCTCGAAACAAAATCCATCGCCGCCGACGACGAATGTTTCACGGCCGTGCATGGGCCGATCCGCGACGCAAACGCGGGACACACGCAGTTTATGCATTTTAGCCTTACTTGTCGACTCGTAGTAACTAAGTTATTTATATAAATAAGGTGTTACGATTCTTAAAACTCATCGGGAGAATCCCTCCGTTGTTTCTCCGTTCTCGTACGCCCCTACCCCCCATCCCCCCTTTTTTTTTCGTCTCGCGCCTCCAAGCATTTCCTACGCATTCTACGACTATTCATCTTTACTGAAGTTTTTCCACACGCACTTCCTTTTTTCTTTCTTTACCTGTTTTGTTAAATTCGTCGATCACTCGCAAGACTTTATTCTCTCGTGGTACTTTCTCTTTCTCTCTCTCTCTCTCTCTCTCTCTCTCTCATTCTCGCTCAGCGATGCGCGCTCATTCACTCGGGCTTCACTCGTACTATATGATACAGAAGAATCGAGTCGCGGCTCTTCGCTGGGACACCAGGAAGGAAGTTTCCTCGTTGATCGAGGTAACGTTGTACCGTCCTTGCCCGGATCCTCCGTTTCGGCCGAAACGAAGACGGTCCTTCTGGTTCCTAGGTGGTCGTAGAGGACCACTGATCGTTTAACGATCGAGCCCGCGAGACGACGCGGGGATCCGACGATCGGGCTCGCCTTGGTACCACCGCTCCGGAGGGGAAATAATATTAATAATAATGATAATAATACTCGAAACCGACGCGGTCGTCGCCCGATCGTCCGTGTGTCTGTGTGTGTGTGTGTGTATACAGCTTAACACAATTACCTAATTGAAAGTCGCTCTCGATAAATGGGGTGGATAGGTACCTCTAGGAACGCATGCACGCGCGCGCACGCACTCTCAAGCAGTCTTTAGAAATATTTTTTTCCTCGTCTCCCCTCGCTTCTTCGCCTAACTCCTTCGACCGTGGACTCATTTCGACTTTCTCCAGAATAGACGAAAAGTCACGCACGCGATTTTTCCGCGATCGACGTCGTCCACGGACCCCTGGTATACACAATTCGCGTACGCGTATATACGATTTCGCTACGGAACGTGTGTGTGTGTATGTCTGTGTGTGCCTCGGACCTTCGATCGGTCTCGGATCGAACGCGGGATCGGAGAACGTTGATATATCCCGCCTCGTTGATATGTGTATGTGTGTATATCCACCGACTCGAGTCTCTCCGAATTTGGATCGCAGGACCGACCGAAGACCCTCGATATTCGATCGTCTCGGTTCGATCGATGTCTCGAGCCGAACGATTCCCTTTATTCCCCTAACGTTTCCCTTCGTTAAAATCGCGAGTGTTCTTACGATATTTCCACGAATCACTGGGTTTTTCTTTTCCCGCGGGTTCAACGATACACGAACGGCGTCTGTCCCATTTTTGTCTCTATGTCACACACTCCGAAAGGCATCGTCGTCCGCGATCACACACCTTCCCCCGTGGCGGACCTCTATTCTCGTGCTCGTTCGTTTCAGCCTCGCGAATCACTCGACGAATAACCGACGACCGAACAGTTCGCTCGTTACTCTTCACCTCTCGGTTCGTGGTCACTTCCAACGGAACTCTGGGGTGTCGTCGTCACACGGCTCGTCGTTTCCCTCGTGTCTCGATGATCGTCACTCGTTCTGGCTGCTCGCTAGACGTTCGGCTGCCGCTGCTGCTGCCGCTGCTGCCACTCTTCTGCCGTCCTCAAGCCTCTTCTAGGTCGCGCTCGTGAACAGCACGGAGTTCTTGTAGTAACCCGTTCGGGATTCTGAAACAGAAGCAAGATGAGAACGTCTCGTGGCAGAAGAAACTGTCCATCGTTCGCGTCCCGGCGATCTCTCGCGAGCGCACGATCGTCGTATGTCTCGTGAACGAAACGCGATCTTCGCCGCGCGGGCGACGGTGAATTCGAGAAGAACGCAGAGGAGAAGAACCGAGCGAATGATTCGATGATCGCTCGGTTGGAAGCGGCGCCGCTCACTAATTATCCTTGCCCGTTGAGAGACGTAGATCAACGCGAAAAGGGGTGGGGGGTGGGTGGGGAGGACGGTGGCGAAGACACTCCCGAGGTAAGAAAGAGAGAGAAAGAAAGAGCCGAGTGGGCCCTATCGGCCCCTCCGTTCGTAAATACGAGACCGGTCGACTCATCGGCCCTCCAGGGGCCCTTTGTGATCGAGCCGCCACTCGACTTTTTATCGAACTGTCGCTTATGATTGAAAATCACCGCGCGTTTTAATAGTCCACCGGATTCGATTTGCCTCTCCTCGCGTCTCCTTTCCTTTCTAGATTCTCTTTTTCTTTCACCGGAAAGCACCCGATTCCTCATGGAGTTTTTACTTCTTTAACCCTTTAACTCCCAGTGTTGCCTGGTGCAACGCACGTTGAACTTTGGTGAGCAAGGATGTCCGTAGTTTCACCGATGTGAAGTAGATCTCAAGGTTCTCGGCCGAGGAATGCAAGTGGTCCCTCGTGATATAACGTATAACATCCGTCTCATAATTTTGAAGTAACGATTTAAGTGTCTGGGCGTCAAACGGTTAACAGAAGACTGACCGAAGAACAGCGTCCTATTTGGGAATATACAGGGTGTTTGGAAAAAACCATGCAATATTTATATATGGTACTACACTGTACCGAGTAAGAAAGCCTTAGTAAATATAGGTCGAAAGGTCAACCTTTTCTGAGATATAAACATTTTTGTATGTTAGCATCGTGATGGACTTACAACTGGCTTTTCGATATTTACTGTTATTCGATATTAATCGATACTAAATAGAACCGAAATCGCCGGGTCGATGGCAACTGACTGACGACGAAATCTTCTGTCGTGAAGTATAGTTAGGTCCAGAAGAGTGTTCAATGGAGAACCAAAGTGAGGTAAAGTAGAGAATGTCGACCACTGGTTGTCCAACGGTGGTACGGAAGGAAGATTAGCGAAAAAAAAGGGGGGAAAGGATTCCACGGAGATGAAGTCGAGTTTACGAAGACCGCGGCCAATTAAGGGAGGGGAGGGAGCGCCACTCGTTAAGGCGGTCCTTGGCTCTTCGGTGTCTGCAGGCCCAGGCCGCGGGAGAAAAACGATTATTTACGTGCAACGTCACGTCGGGCCCTCGGGACGAGCGGGAGCATTGAAATCGCGCGCGGCGGAGCCACGGGTACACACACACACACACACACACAGTTTTTGCCAGGGGGTTTCTCGAACAACTTTCGACAAGTTTCCGCCGCGGAGGCGAGCCAAGTTTTGAATCGGGCCGCGGCGTGTGCCGGTGACGCGGTTTGCAAGAAACACCCCCTTCGAACGCGACCGCCACTCCCAAGACTTTCTAATTAAAGATCCGAACTTTGTTCCCTGTCGCAAGAAATTCCACCGACGGCGGCGGCGCCGGTGCTCGAATCGGAAAACGAGCAACGGCGGCCTGGTGCAACGAATCGAAAATCGAATTTACCCCTTCCCTCAGCCTGTCTTGTGTTTCACTTCGATGCCTGCGTTCGGCTTCGAGGTTCCCTTGGAATGTTGATCGTTAGACGTTTGGAATTTCGAAACCACGGTTTCTGGATGACTCCTTCTTTGTCACCTGACGGCCAGTTCAGATGAAACGTTTTTGTTGACGGTAATTTTGTTCATAGATATAGAATGTATAGACTGCGCGTCTGCCTGGACCGGTGTGCAAAATTTGGAAAGAGACGGATTGCTTTCGGAGGACTTGCTATCTCTTTCTAATACAGCTGAGTCGACCACTCAAAATTCCGACCCCCAGAACCTCACTAACCATCACTTAGATTTAAAAAGAGATGCCAAGTCCTCCGAAAGCTACCTACCTCTTTCTAAACTTGGGACAATCTATTATATTTATTAAAATAGACTTTTTTTTTTATTTTACTTATATTGTTTTTCCATTTTATTGGCACGGTTCTATTCTTATATGCCTATGATTTTGCTGAATCCATAATAGCCTAAAGCAGGCCTGTCCAACATGTGGCCTTTGGATTTTCGTACGATGATCCGTAAACCCTAAGCAAGGATTATAGAACCTATTATCGAGTCCTGACACTGACTTAAATTTTCTTCCAAAACTCGTTTAATAGCCTGGTCTTGCCTATGAAACGGTGCGACACTGTTTTAAACGAACGATGAACGGCCGAACGTGAGGAGATAGATATCCGAAGAAGAATAGATGTCACCGTCGCCACCCGATAGTCGAACGAATTTTACCGTGTATAGATGGAGGTGGTTTAGTTGGACGCACCTTGAAGAGGAGACTTGACCTGGTCCCTCTCGGCCGCCTGGTGCTGCCGCGATTTTCTCTCCAGCTCGAGCTCCTGCACCAGCGATTCTATGGGAAACAAAAGAACAAAAAAACACATTTGTTGGTTATCGTGGTGTATCTCTGTGGGAAATAGATCGTGGAAACACCGGTGTGTTCGTCGGATAAACGAGGGCGGGGATGAAGATGACGATGGTTCGAAAACGATTACGACCGTCTTAGGCAGCCGATTTCGACGAGGCGTGAACCGAAATGCGCGCGAACGAAGGATGAAACGATGGAAGGGCGGTAATTAGTGGGAAAACCAGCCACCGCGAGAAAATGGGGGAATAGAGAGAGGGAGAAGGGACGCAAGCACCAGGGATAACGGACGAAGGCAGGCGTGAAAGGGCCGCGCGGGTTTGCTCACTGAATTCCGCAAGGATTAGGGTGAAAACTGGAAAATGTCCCTTTAATGATATCGCGCCGAATTAACCGTGGCCGATCTCTCTATCTCTATCTCTCTCTCCTCGTTTCGGTCTACTTCGTTAAGCTCGTGTAACGACACAATCCCTACTCGAACCGGTTCACGCGACGCGTCCACGTTTGCTTTTCCGTATTATCGGGGCTCGCGGATATTATGAACAGAACCAGTGTTTGCAAAACGATACAGTTAATTACAACAGTCCAGATTATCGATGCGAACCCTGCCTTTTCGAGAACTATTCCGTTTCGTCAGTGTCCCAGCTAGCTCCGTCAGGACTCCAACGACACGCCGATGGTACTGGTAAGAGAATAATCAATTTGTTAGACGAGATCACCCACCGAAAGACAGTGGTCGGTGATTAAAGGCGTTCGATGTATCTGGGGCGTCACGAACGAACAGTCGAATCGAGACCCAAATACCTCGACGTACAATCGAAAGATTCGACATAGATAAAAAGCTTGCGTATAAATCGAAAAGTTCCACATAGATCGAAATCTTGAATCGCCAGGGCAAAACGAACTAGTGCATAATATCCGACAGCAGGAGAAGAAGGGGACGCGAAAGGAAGGGTGACGGAGGGGGGACGAGGCGCGAATATATAATCGGTAAGCGTGAAATGGCGCCTCCTTGGGCAACGAGCAATGGTAAAATCCAATTGCTAGGCCATTAAATCCCGGTTAACTGGCACACGGCTCGTCGAAGAGAGAGAAGAGAAGAAACAACCCGCGTGTATACTCTCGGAACGGGGACTAGAGAGACGTCGGGGCCGAGATTCCATTATGCTTTGAGCAACAATAGCTCGAAGGGCTGTTTCGTGGCGCGTGGGACTTATCCGCGCGCGGGGTGTTTCGTCCCTTTGATATCCAAATGACAATTTAACTGCTCAAGACACACGGGGGTCTCTCGCTTCGAGATCCATGCGGGGGCAGTTAGTCTGTTGTATGTATTTATTGCGTATACATACACACGTTGCGAAGGCTCGCGGGGCTACGCCTCGTTCCCGTGTCCGGTCGTTCCTCGACCTCGACGAAAAGGGAGAAGAGTGGAGCCGACCAGTCGACGATCCGCGCGCGAGATCGACTCTGAGAGGTGAGAGGAAGAATGCTCCCGGGCATCGGAGCACGTACGTGCCCCGAAGATCGACCGACTAATAGTTTTGCTACCGTATTACACACCCTGACAAATCGCGCGAACAATGAAAACAATTTCAGGCCGAGGCCCCGGACTCGACGGTTCCCCATTCCCTCTCTCCCGCGCTCTTTCTCTCGGCCCTAAACGGTCCGTATTGTAGCCTCGTCCCGGGCCCCTGGATTTTTTCGCCCCCTTTGACTACTCCGTGTGAGAAGTGTGAGAGAAAGAGACAGAGCATCTTGAGCAGACCGTTGAAAAGGAGAGCCTCGAACTGTATCCGGTATGACTGTGCGTTTATCCGCACGTAATTAACTGGCGCACAATGCATCGCGAGAAGGCCAACTCGTCTCTCGAGAGGAGACGAAGAAAAGGAGTAGTTCGTGGAGTGAAGCAGGGTACGGTGCTGTGTATCGGCGGCTACCACTCGAGAAATCGTCGTATTGTGGCCGGGGCGGCCCCGCGAGAAGAGACGATGGCAACGTCATTCTTACGGGGGACGATCCAGGGTCCACGGATCGATCGACCCTTGTTTTTTCGATCACCCGGAGGAGATTCGAAAATTCCACGGACACGCATCTTACCAGCAGCGTACGATTCTTCGTTTCGTTTTCGTCGATCGACCGTTTTTCGACGCGGGAGACTGCTAAATTGGAGCGCGCGATCCGTTCGCCACGCTGATCAACCGTCTACGCGATATATCGTGCGCCTTGGCTACCGGCCAAAAACATGGGACCAGATTTGATAATAATTAAAGAAACAGGAGAATATTATTCTACGAAGATTTGATGAAAGTAATGTGGTAAAACTGATTGGGAATTATTTATCGATGTGGAGGATACTTTACCATTAGAATACAAGAGATATATACAGTGACTCTTTCTAGCAGTAGAATCTTTTCTAGCAATTTCCATTTATATATTCTCCTTATAATACCTTTTTAGCATCTTTTTTTAATCAATTTTTGTAATTTTGAAATAAAATTCTCATTTTGTGAATGATTTGGTCAGGTAGAGGTGACAGCCTTTCGTGAACAAATTTGTGAGTCACTGTGCACGTATATATAAATTGGACGAATAATAAAATAAATGGTTTCTATTATATCGTAACAGAATAACAAGTTACCGTTCCATCAATCGTGAGCTCTGGTCCCATACTTTCGGCCGTTAGTGTTCGTCAGGGGGGCAATAGAACCCATGAATCGTGCGCTGTTCGATCATCACCAACGATCTAACGGTCGTAACATCGTGTGGAGAATATAGAGGATACTTCGGAGTAATTGTTCGATAACATCGTACACTTCCAAGCAAACAAAAAAAAAAAAAAAAAAAAACGCGCTCGACAGTGTAAGTACACTTCGAACTTGAACATCTTAACCTCGTGACCCGTTGGGCCGAAGAACAAACGTCTCGGTGGTGCAGGTTCCAGCGATCATCGCTAGCTCCCTCCTCTTCGAGTAGTATCGCATCCAACCCGGTAATTGCTCGAAACGGTCTTACCGTCGAACGGATCGAGTCTCTCTGGAGCGTTGGCGGATCTCGAGGAGAGAAAAAAAAAAGAAGAGCAAGGAAGCTACATCGTGAGGGGACGAGGCAGGAAGAAGGGGCACAGAGAAGGTCCTGAAGCTACGGAAAGAACGCTGCAGAGACGGAGGACCGAAGGAAGCGGACGGGCAGGGGGTTGATTTCGTGTAGCGCCGCGTTTTTAATGCTCTGATCTTTATGTAAAGCAGAACACGGAGGACGAGACGACGGAGGTGGGGACGAGAGCGAGGGCGATGGAAAGAGGGAGGAGGTAGAGGAGCGGGGG